ATGGAGGAATGGGCCAAAATACCAGCAACAGTGTGTGAAAACCTTGTGAAGACTTACAGGAGACGTTTGACCTGTGTCATTGCTAACAAAGGGTATATAACAAAGTATTGAGAAACTTTTGTTATTGACCAAATACTTATTTTCCACCATAATTTGCAAATAAATTAATTACAAATCCTACAATGTGATTTTCTGGAAATTTTTTCTCATTTTGTCTGTCATAGTTGACGTGAACCTATGATGAAAATTACAGGCCTCTCTCATCTTTTTAAGTGGGAGAACTTTCACAATCGGTGGCTGACTAAATACTTTTTTCCCCCACTGTATGTAAGAGAGGGGGTCTGGACACTGTCCGTGATCAATAATATGTAAAGTAATCTACTAAAACATAGTAATGTATAGGGGACTGTAAAGACAATATGAATCCATTACCACCATGAGGAAGACAGTGATATTGAGATCAGTCACACTTGTAGAAGATCAATACAACAATGTCTGTCCAGAAAAAACAGTAAAGTGAGACAAAGCTTTTCAGAACAATCCATGTTTATTCAATATAACTAAATACTAAATCAACCTATAATAAGTTTAAATAGTGAAATATGACACTTAAATAACCACTCATATAATATGAGTAATATGGAAAGGATAAATGATTTGCATTTACAATGAGTGGTTTCTGTCAGATAACTGTGTCAGCCATTATGATTAGAATGTTCAGGTGTGTGTTGATGCCCCATTTACTGTCACACAACAGCTTCTTCTCTGATTGGCTTGATAAAGTTTTGGCCTCTTAAAACGGCCATGTTCTGTGTTTGATCATGCAGGACCTTCGCAGATGTAGGGTTTTTTGAAAGAACCACAGTGCTCCCTGCTGGCTGAAAGAGACATTGCAAACAACAGCAGAGAGCCCCCACTAAACTGTACACAACACAGGTCAGATGCTTGTGTGTGTGTGTGTGTGTGTGTGTGTGTGTGTGTGTGTGTGTGTGTGTGTGTGTGTGTGTGTGTGTGTGTGTGTGTGTGTGTGTGTGTGTGTGTGTGTGTGTGTGTGTGAATAACCCAAGTCCATGTTGCTCACATGTCAGTGTGTGCATACGTGTGCGTCTGTTTTTCAAATCCATGTTTATTGTGCGTACTCCACAACTCTACATGGCAGTCTCTGTTATCATCCTCAGGGGCATGGTGAGAGCACAACCACAATAGTTTTCACCAAGAATTTGTCTGAATCACGGAGAGAGAACCTGCATGGCCAATGGGCAACTTCAATAAAGGCAATCAGAAGCTATAATGATAAAAATCCTCCACCAAAGTTTATTTTTATGAGGGGACATGGCTGAGGGTTAGGGAATTCAGAGCAGTAATTAATAGTCTTAAGTGACTGTTGTTGGATGAGAGATGCACTCTGGAATGGTACTGTGAGCTGGTACTGTGTCCCCCAGCGCGTCCCACAGCATCTGGCTGGCATGCAGCGAGGAAACTGAGAAACTGTATTACTGCTCTCTCATTTCTCCAGGCTCACACTCCTCCCTGCATGTACCAATGCTAATCTCCTGTCACAAATGTTAAGGGAAAGACTTGAAATGCCACAAAAATGTCATCGTTCCACCATGTTGTCCTCTCATCTAGCCCCCCACCCCACCCCCAAACACACATTAGCAAATATATATGTGTGTGTGTGTGTGTGTGTGTGTGTGTGTGTGTGTGTGTGTGTGTGTGTGTGTGTGTGTGTGTGTGTGTGTGTGTGTGTGTGTGTGTGTGACGAGAGGGGACCAACTTCTTCTTGCCGTGGGTTGTTCTTGCTGCGCGGGGGAAGGTTGGTATGTCAGTCCCTTATTGGTACCCCAAGGCAGGCCTGGAGCTCTGGGGTTGTGACTCTCTTCAGTCCTTCCACTGCTAGGGCCAGCAGAAACAAGGAGAAAGCAGTCAGCGCCGACTACTGACATTTGAACACTGAAATAACTATTTTCTTAGAGGTTGTAAAAGGTGTTACATTTGTCACAGTCTGAGTTTATGCCCATTTCGGAGGAATTAACCTACAAAGACCAGGTAATAGAACCTCAAAATCTTTATGCTCTATTACAACAAGCTAACACTGATATACACAAAGGTTACCTCCCAGGTTTGTTCATCCACAATCATTTGTGAAAGCTGTCTGTCTTCTCTCTGGTGTTGGGGGAAATGTGAGACAGATAGGAAAAATAAAAACTGGATGCTGGGGTAGGATTTCAGTCTCTGTCTCTTTCCATCACAGGCTTTTCTCTAATTGTCACACAGCCGCCCTATGTCTGTGCCCATGTTCGTTCCAGCTTGGCAATCCAAGGTAGCACCAATACACAATCCGTGCTGACAGCATGCATGTCTCTGCTCACGACCGATCCTTGTGCACGATCTCGTGCAGCTCTAGATTTAAATATCCAGACGATAACCTTACAGGTTATGAATGGTAGCAGGGGAGACAGCTCTGCATAGGCCTTACATCCAAGCCAGACAAATCAGTGTAACGGGGGAAGAGATATCACAATTGGGGAATGCGGATGCCCCTGGAAGCCCCACGGCAGTATGGGTGACCCCGCGGTATATTCTCTTACAAATGTGACCCTGGATTATGTATCACAATCGGCATGAGAAATAATCCCACGGGCTATAGATCGTCCTCGGCAACTGGAGATTGTTGTCCTCAGCACATCTGTGTACATACAGGATGTGGCAGCTCCAAGGCATTTGGTAGAGGAGGCTTACTTTAACGCTGCAGGCATGCATTTCTGAAATCCCTACTAGGCTAAAAATGTATGACGTGCTGAAACACACAAACAAAAAGGGAAAAACTGGAATTATCCTTACCTTGTTCTGTGGCATCTAATCATTTGTGATAGTTTGTGTACTCATTCTTATAATTAATTTGCTTTCTGGGACAGCTTTTCTTCTCCAAATTAGTTCTAAAAATAATGTTTGCAATAGCAGATAAAGTGCACATGTAGTGATGGGGTTAGGATATGTGCAAGGTAATAAACATTAACAAGAACGTTCCATCCAAGGCCCTATTCGTACTAGATTCAATCATAAAAAGGCCCTAGAATAATATTGCTACAATTAGGCTAGATGGGGTTTGAGGTTCAAGTCAAATAGGGGGTGCTTATATTTGTCCTGTTTCACTCATGTACAAGTGTGTGGTGTGAAATGGAAATTTGTTTTTAGTATATCCCACTCCCCCTGAGACACTGGGGTCACAGCCAGGGATCAGCTATTATTGACGGCGACCATGGCATAGTTAGGGTTAAATGCCTTGCTTAAGAGCAGCGCAACAGATTTTTCACAGAGTCAGCTCAGGGAGTCAAACTAGCAACCTTTCAGTTACTGGCCCAATGCTGTAACCGCTAGGCTACCTACCTTCCATCTCATGTGCTCACTGCATATTGGGCTTTTTTGGAATACTGTATTTATTCATTCCTTATTTTACTGTAACCTGGTAAATTGACTGAGAACACATTCTAATTTACAGCAACAACCTGAGGAAGAGTTGCAGGGGTTCATCAGTGTAGGAAAACTCTGATGAATTCTACTTCATGTTATGGTGATACATGTAACGTGCCAAGCCGGACCATGGTAGAGTTTTTACCACAGGCAGTAGCTTTTTTTTAACCCTGTTTAGAGTAACTTCCCTCCACATCACCTCAACCTGGATACTCAAATATATGTGACAACCAGGAACATGACTGATGGGAGGTAGTAGCACGCGACACCTCAACGCAGCCGTCACTTCCTATGATGTCATACACACACCTGGCCCTCATAGAGTTAATAAGCAGAGTTTGATTGACATCTGACATTTCATTATGGACGAGTCATAAGGAGGCTGTACAAATCGAAACAGACATGACATACAACGGCAGAGCAAGGAGACTGACATGCCAGGAGACACGGAGGCAAACTTGCTGCAGGACTTGGGGAAACTCTAGACCTTCACTGTCATTTTGATTTAATTTTCCACAAATCTCATACAACGCAGTGAGGAAACAAGTATGTTACTATGAATTGTAGGCCCCTGTATGCTTCCCATTATTTGATAGATTCAGCTGTAGGAAGGGTTTGAATTACTGGAGTGCCCGAAGATGCCGAGCACTCCCATAAGAAATCAGGGTACCCCTATACTATTAACATGTGTATTCCCATAAGAATATTGACACATTGATTGTATTACATAACACATCTTCGCCCCTCTGCTCATTTATAAGCTGGAGCCAAGTCATGCTGGAAAACGACATATCTAAGCCAGCACAGTACTGGGGTCCTGTGTGGCTCAGTTAGTAGAGCATGACGCTTGCAACGCCAGGGTTGTGGGTTCAATTCCCTCTGGGGAAAAATGTATGCACTCACTACTATAAGTTGCTCTGGATAAGAGCATCTGCTAAATTACTAAAATGTACTGCTTGGGTTGGCGTGAAAAGGATAATTGATCAGACTGAATTAAAATGAGACTAGTATTTTATGTAGGCTTACATGCAAATCCATTACAAAACAAGCTTTTCATTTATTATTAAAACTCCTCAGTTAACAGTATGCCTTATATTAACCAAATACCATAAGATTTGTAAACATGAATTATCCATACACCAATTGAAAACCTCTCTTTAATGTGCCTCAGTGGGGTTTTTTGTGTGCCATTTTTATTCTGCTGAAATATTTTTTGATTAATCAAGAAAGATAGACTTTAAGATATATATATATATAAATTAAACAATTAAACATTCTCAATTTGATCATTCATGTGTAGCCTAAAATAATGTAAGCACGTTTTAACTACCTAATAAAGACATTATTCTGTAACGAAATATTCATGGCGATAGTATTCGTATACTATAAAGTACTTTTATCTGATGCAACGTAATGAAACAAAATAATAGCCACTTTTTATGTCACCATTGGCTGAATATGTTGTCGATTTAAATCTAGTGGGCAGGACTGAGTAATTTCGACCAATCCTGTGCCATCTCCCTTGTCCCATCGTTCACAAAGATGTCGTTGAAAGAGCTATCCTCGCTAGAAAAGGCTTTAGGATTGAAAAAGCCTAACAAATACAGTACTCAGGGGGATAAGAAGGTGAATTTGCCATCTAATGGTTGCGGTTACAGTTATCGATATGTGCTAAATAAAATAGAGCTTACCACATGAACAGTAGCCTAGGTTAAAAAGAGTCGTGAGCACATGCTAGCTACAAAGCTAGCTAGCTAGCTTGCTAATGTTAGCATGCCAGTATACTTTCCATAGAAAAGCAAGATACTAGTTAGCTAGCTAGCTTTAGCTAGTTCTATTTTAGCGAAGGCAGGTCACGTAGGAACAAAGAAGCTATAACTTTACCCCATATAAGTTGTAGAGTAAATGTGTAATCAATGTTTGAGCTAAACTGTGTTATTAGCCAGCTGGCTTGGCTAACATTGAATGAATCTGCTGCCTGTTTATGCCATGTGATTGCAATCTTAGGTTGCCAACGATTTCTGGCTCTAACTATAGCAAAAATCAGTGGAGTGCTATACTGACTCAACTGCCTTCATTACAATGTTAGAAACACAAGTCACAGGGTGTAGTCAATGTGACTGCATGTTTAAGCACTGAAATACTGTATCTTGTTGACAAGTCATTACAATACAGACACTGACATTATGTGTCCATAATTCCTATCAAGCTAAAGCTAAATGTACACATTGACATTCTCTCTCCCACCCAGGTGCCTGTCCTCCAGAGTGTTAATGGGCCAGCTCTGGTTGGCTTGGTGACCATCGCCACTCACCTGGTCCAGGAGGCCAAGCGGCCTGAGTTGCTGGGTGGGTCAGCAGAACACAAGGCTGTAGTGCAGCAGTGGCTGGAGTACAGAGTCACCAAAGTGGACGGATGCCACAACGAAGATATCAAGACCATACTAAAGGTAGAGACCCAGAAACAATAGTAAAGATTATTCTCCAACGTTTTATAACTTCAAATCATCCAGAATTAGAAAGTCAATTAAAATAAATAAATATCGAAGTACATTTTATTGTCCAATGTAAATGTGGACCCACTGTTTTTCTACCATTGCTGTCATATGGGATAGACCGGCTTGGTGAGCTGTGTACGGAGAGGGTCTAGAATAGCAGAGCCTGGGAGAAGCCCCTGAGCCAAACTCGCCAACCCATGCTCCACCAGCCGTGGCTAGACTGACAGAGTGTGTGACTCATTAAGGCGCGGGGATATGAATCTAGGCTGATATATGGCCCTTCAGTGACATGGCAGAGGTGGGCAAAGCCGTAGATAAGAGCTAAGGGTGGGCACACACTTTACAATATAAGTCTTTAATTGGGGGCCGCTGTCGACAGCGTGAAAGGGATATGAAGCCATTGGTTGACTGGACAGGCGGCTCTCGGCACTGGCTGTCAGGGTGACGTGCCGCCTTGGCATCACTGAGAAGTCCTACTGATCCAGAATGTGGACGTGAATGTGGACTTTAAAAAAATGTAATGGTGCCACTTACAGAAGTTAGCCCTGAGCCCCACTCTGTGCCCCCACTGGCTGTTCACTAGAACTCTTAACAGCACACCAATAATCCCAGAAATGAAAGGGGTCAATGCGGGCCACAATAGCATACGTTTTTGTTTTTTTGCGCTTGTAAATTCTACCGTGTCACTAGTTTGTGTTGATTGTGCAGAAAAACAGCCAACATTTTAGATTTGAATTCAATAGTTACACTTTGGAATCGATTTCATGGGCGGCTTTAGTCATACCGTTGATTTAGAAAACCTCAAGTCTTGGAAAATAACAAGTTTGTCCTCAGGGGAGCTAATGTTCTACCTTGTGCAATAACTTATTCTTCACTGGGACCAGAAAGTGCCCTTCCTTCACTATGGTAGAATAGTCATGATGTTATAACCCACAACCTTGGGGTTGTAGTGAGGTCTAGAATCCCCAGTGAGTGTAGAGATATCAGAAGGCTTGGACAGACTGTGGTTGGGGATGGTGGAGGAGCAGAACCCAGGTTCTGAACTCCATGTGGGGGTGGAGGGGGAGCAGTCTTCCGTAGCTGTAGGGAAGGCAGGGATCTGATTGTGGCGGAGGAGACTGCTGCCTTCATGCCTTGCTTGGCAGCACATTCCGGCTGAACAATAACTCCATTAGCCCTCAAGACGCTGTATGTGCAGTACAAGTGCTAAAGATGGTTCCGTCCCTTGGGACCTGCACAACCACACACACACAGCCCCTGTGTGCTTAGTCCATCCAGTTTGTGGAAGGTTCATTAGATTTGCAGGCGCCCAAGTCAGTTGGGAGAGGAGTGGGCCACTTGTAAGGCATCTGCGCTAGCCGGAGTGGCCAGAGTTTTGGGGATGCCATGCCACGGCAGGTAAATACGTGTTCCCCCTCAGGTCGCCCATTATTCACATACAGATACAGCGCTCTCCACTCATATGTGCGCGTCACGCACTCCCAGATATATAGGTTAAATAGATCTCAGGCCTGGGTTGGCTCCACCAGCCACCATCTTAGTTTTCAACTATTTTGACTGTTAAAGATGTTTATTTTGATATTTTGTCTCTTTAACTGTGGATATGTCATTATCACCCCATTGCTGAAAGTTTGGTTATTGTTTTTCCTCTTTAAAATAAATGTTCTATAGTTGATTAAATTCCTTGGTCAACTTTTGAGACATTTCTCAGATTCAAATGTCTAATCTGGTTGTTATGATAAAAAAAAAAAAATGCTTAGATAATGTCAAGAATCACATTGGAGTGATTCTGACTGTGGTCCTCAAGACAATTGTTTGTAGGCGTATGTCTCCACAGTGCATTCGGAAAGTATTCAGACCCCTTGACTTTTTCCACATTTTGTTACGTTACAGCCTTATTCTAAAATGGATAAAATAGTTTTTTTTTTTCCGTCATCAATCTACACACAATACCCCATAATTACAAAGCAACAACTGGTTTTTAGAAATGTTAGCAAATTTATAAAAAATAAAGTGAACACACTTAAATAAGTGTTCAGACCCTTTACTCAGTACTTTGTTGAAGAACCTTTGGCAGCGATTACAGCCTTGAGTCTTCTTTGGTATGACGCTACAAGCTTGGCACACCTGTATTTGAAGAGTTTCTCCCATTATTCTCTGCAGATACTCTCAAGCTCTGCCAGGTTGGATGGGGAGCGTTTGATCGGTTTCAAGTCCGGGCTCTGGCTGGGCCACTCAAGGACATTCAGAGACTTGTCCCGAAGCCACTCCTGCGTTGTCTTGGCTGTGTGCTTAAAATTTTTGTCCTGTTGGAAGGTGAACCTTCGCCCCAGTCTGAAGTCCTGAGCAGGTTTTCATCAAGGATCTCTCTGTACTCTTTGCTCCGTTAATTTTTCCCTCGATCCTGACTAGTCTCCCAGTCCCTGCCCCTAAAAAACATTCCCACATGACGCTGCCACCACCATGCTTCACTGTAGGGATGGTGCCAGGTTTCCTCCAGACGTGACGCTTGGCATTCAGGCCAAAGAGTTCAATCTTGGTTTCATCAGACCAGAGAATCTTGTTTCTCATGGTCTCAGAGTCCTTTAGGTGCAGTTTGGCAAACTCCAAGCAGGCTGTCATGTGCCTTTTACTGAGGAGTGGCTTCTGTCTGGCCACTCTACCATAAAGGCCTGATTGGTGGAGTGCTGCAGAGATGGTTTTCCTTCTGGAAGGTTCTCCCATCTCCACAGAGGAACTTCGGAGCTCTGTCAGTGGCCATCGGGTTCTTGGTCACCTCCCTGACCAAGGACCTTCTCCCCCGATTGCTCAGTTTGGCCAGGCGGCCAGCTCTAGGAAGAGTCTTGGTGGTTCCAAACTTATTCCATTTAAGAATGATGGAGGCTACTGTGTTCTTGGGGACCTTCAATGCTGCAGACATTTTTTGGTACCCTTCCCCAGATCTGTGCCTCGACACAATCCTGTCTCGGAGCTCTACGGACAATTCCTTCGACCTCATGGCTTGGTTTTTGCTCTGACATGCACTGTCAACTGTGGGACCTTATATAGACAGGTGTGTCCCTTTCCAAATCATGTCCAATCAATTGAATTGACCACAGGTGGACTCCAATCAAGTTGTAGAAACATCTCAAGGATGATCAATGGAAACAGGATGCACCTAAGCTCAATTTCGAATACTTATGTGAATAGGTTTTATTTTTGCTAAAATGTCTAAAAACCAGTTTCCGCATTGCCATTATGTGTGTAGATTGATGAGGAAAAAAACTAATTTAATAAATTTTAGAATAAGGCTGTAACGTAACAAAAATGTGGAAAAGGGAAGGGGTCTGAATACTTTCCGACTGCACTGAGGATCTGTGAAATTCTGTCAAATATGCAATTCTAATTAACCTAATGATCCACCAAAAGTAATTTACTTTTATTTTTTTCCTCATGCAGGACCTCAACAGTTATCTAGAAGACAAGGTTTACCTGGCAGGAAATCAGTTCACCCTAGCCGACACACTCATGTACTACGGAATTCATCACGTCATCGTAAGTCTGTCAAACGGAGCTCACAATTAAAAGAGTCATATGGTTAAAGGGCATGAAAAAGGAAACTTGACACAAGCAGAAAAGATGAGGCGCAAAATGATGTCTTTAGCCCAGGCCAAGGAAGAAGTTTGTTGGCCCCTGGAGGCTGACAGAGAGAAACTGGATCACATGTTGAGAAATGTCAGCGGTTGTGGCGGAGATGGATCGTTGCCACCAGGCACAAGGGAGTCAGTTTAGTTTTTTATCACAGCGGTTAACCTCAGGACAGAGGTCAGTCAGCAGCCCAGTTCCTCATTCTATTTGTTTGAAGTTCAGTTCAGGGGGGGACTATCATAGCTATCGAACCCAACTGGCATGATTTTAGACTCTATTTCAGGTACAGTAGAGCTATGTTAGACCAGGCTTGGGCAGCCTCACAACGAACCTGAAACAGGATTGTCTAATATGTTCACATTATTATGGTGTCTCTTCAGCTAGCAATTACAGTTGAAGTCAGAAGTTTACATACACCTTAGCCAAATACATTAAAACTCAGTTTTTCACAATTCCTGACATTTAATCCTAGTAAAAATTCCCTGTCTTAGGTCAGTTAGGATCACCACTTTATTTTAAGAATGTGAAATGTCAATAATAGTAGAGTGATTTATTTCAGCTTTTATTTATTTCATCACATTCCCAGTGGGTCAGAAGTTTACTTACACTCAATTAGTATTTGGTAGCATTGCCTTTAAATTGTTTAACTTGGGTCAAACGTTTCGGGTAGCCTTCCACAAGCTTCCCACAATAAGTTGGGTGAATTTTGGCCCATTCCTCCTGACAGAGCTGGTGTAACTGAGTCAGGTTTGTAGGCATCCTTGCTCGCACACTCTTTTTCAGTTCTGCCCACAAATGTTCTATAGGATTGAGGTCAGGGCTTTGTGATGGCTACTCCAATACCTTGACTTTGTTGTCCTTAAGCCATTTTGCCACAACTTTGGAAGTATGCTTGGGGTCATTGTCCATTTGGAAGACCCATTTGCGACCAAGCTTTAACTTCCTGACTGATGTCTTGAGATGTTGCTTCAATATATCCACATAATTTTCCTTCCTCATGATGCCATCTATTTTGTGAAGTGCACCAGTCCCTCCTGCAGCAAAGCACCCCCACAGCATGATGCTGCCACCCCTGTGCTTCACGGTTGGGATGGTGTTCTTCGGCTTGCAAGCACCCCCTTTTTCCTCCAAACATAATGATGGTCATTATGGCCAAACATTTCTATTTTTGTTTCATCAGACCAGAGGACATTTCTCCAAAAAGTACGATCTTTGTCCCCATGTGCAGTTGCAAACCGTAGTCTGGCTTTTTTATGGCGGTTTTGGAGCAGTGGCTTCTTCCTTGCTGAGCGGCCTTTCAGGTTATGTCGATATAGGACTCGTTTTACTGTGGTATAGATACTTTTGTACCTGTTTCCTCCAGCATCTTCACAAGGTCCTTTGCTGTTGTTCTGGGATTGATTTGCATTTTTCACACCAAAGTACATTAATCTCTAGGAGACCGAACACGTCTCCTTCCTGAGTGGTATGACGGCTGCATGGTCCCATGGTGTTTATACTTGCATACTATTGTTTGTACAGATAAACGTGGTACCTTCAGGCGTTTGGAAATTGCTCCCAAGGATGAACCAGACTTGTGAATGTCTAGTTTTTTTTTCTGTGGTCTTGGCTGATTTCTTTTGATTTTCCCATGATGTCAAGCAAAGAGGCACTGAGTTTGAAGGTAGGCCTTGAAATACATCCACAGGTACACCTCCAATTGACTCAAATGATGTTAATTAGCCTATCAGAAGCTTCTAAGGCCATGACATAATTTTCTGGAATTTTCCAAGCTGTTTAAAGGCACAGTCAACTTAGTGTATGTAAACTTCTGAGCCACTGGAATTGTGATACAGTGAATTATAAGTGAAATAATCTGTCTGTAAACAATTGTTGGAAAAATTACTTGTGTCATGCACAAAGTAGATGTCCTAACCGTCTTGCCAAAACTATAGTTTGTTAACAAGAAATTTGTGGAGTGGTTGAAAAACGAGTTTTAATGACTCCAACCTAAGTGTATGTAAACTCCCGACTTCAACTGTACACTTGTTTTACATTTACTTTTACATTTTAGTCATTTAGCAGACGCTCTTATCCAGAGCGACTTACAGTTAGTGAATACATATATATATATTTTTTATACTGGCCCCCCGTGGGAATCGAACCCACAACCCTGGCATTGCAAACGCCATGCTCTATCAACTGAGCTACATCCCTGCCGGCCATTCCCTCCCCTACCCTGGACGACGCTGGGCCAATTGTGCGCCGCCCATGAGTCTCCCGGTCGCGGCCGGCTGCGACAGAGCCTGGATTCGAACCAGGATCTCTAGTGGCACAGTTAGCACTGCGATGCAGTGCCTTAGACCACTGCGCCACTCAGGAGACTGTGGGGGAAAAAATGTGACTTAAGTTACAAGTAGAGTTGCTTCATTAGTTTTGGTACTAGCTAGTTATAGCCAGAAAGATGCATTTGCTAAATATAAATGGAGATTCATAACATTGCTAGACATTTTATTTTCCCGCCTGCCTTGTAATGTGACAGTAGTGTCATTCTCAACCTTAAACAATGTCAGATTTGTATAGTATGGATCATCAGTGATAAAAATGAATGACCCCCTGTCTCTCCTAGGTGGACCTGGCCGTCCAGGAGAAGGAGAAGTACATGAACATGACGAGGTGGTTCAATCACGTCCAGCACTACCCCGGCATCCGGCACCACCTGCCCCCCGTGGTGGTCCTGAGGAACAGAGTCTACACCAGCGGCCACCACTGACGTCTCCTGTCCCCTGTCAGGGTGCACTGCTGGCTGCCAGGATGGCCCAGGGCGGACTTGGGGGGTACACAGGGTGGTGCTGACATCTCATCATCCCCACCTACCCAACACTACGGTCCCTCCCTCGCCTTCGAGACGTTTGATGTCTTTTTGTTGTTGTTCGGAGTCTCTGTTTTTTTTATGACTGCAGATGCTGTCAGTGTCAAGGTGTAGGGATATTCTAGCGCTGCTTTCTGAAACTGGCTCCCTGAGAGCATTCTTGCTGATGAATGGCAGTAGGGTTTGCTGATACCTGTCAGCAACTCTTGTCTTTTCACTTAAAGGGATAGTTCACCCAAATTACAAAATGACATTGGTTTCCGTACAGCAATCCATCGTTTAGTTTCCCATGCACTGTTTCCACATGCTAATGGTTTAGCGTTTGTGGCACAAATCCCATTCAAGTCATGGGACTGATATTAGCATTTTTTGCACATCATGTTCAAATCATCCAAAACTGTTGAGCTTCACAAACAATTTTAGATACTTTGGATGATTTGGACATGATGTGCGAAATAGGCTAATATCAGTCCCATGACTTGATTGAGATTTGTGCCCAAATGCTGAAACGTTAGCATGTGGAAACAGTGCCAGAGAAACTAAACCAAAGCATAGATTGCTGTAATACCTTGTCCATAGACTACTTACAGAGTAAGGAAACCAATGTCATTTTGTAATATGGGTGAACCTTCCCTTTAACCTGAGCCTTGAATGTGAAAAAGTATTATTAAAAAGTACAAATTAGTTAATAGTTTGCTATGTCGCTTTAAAGAAGTCCCTCTTGCAATTTCAATGTCTCAACATGTTACTTAAACAAAACAAAATAACTCCAGTCCGCCGAACTGTGTTCAGCATCCTCCACAGATCCCAGGTCCACTATCAACTTTCCGCCCTCATGAATATAGTCTTCAGTCTTAGTTTCCCGAGCTGCTGCCTCTGCTATTCCACCAGCAGCGTGGGCAGCAGCCTCTAGTTCAGATCAGAGTCACTCGAATCAATCTGTGTGTTGATGCTGAAGGACAGAGGGCAGACTACCAGCTGCCATAGAGGCCACTGTGTGCCTCTGTCCAATGCTAGAGCCCTGGGTGTCAGCCATGCATTGTGTCATTTCACCCTCTTACCCATGGGGCGGCAAATCATTTTGCAACAACATCCGAGTGATAATACACACTCACACAAGCAGACTGGATTTAGCCATTAGCTCTGTCAGCAGTGGGAATCACAGCTAATATATATATTGAATCGCTGTGTTTGCACAACAAAATAGTTGGGTTATCTTTGTCTTAATTATGAAAACTTTATCCGATGTGTCAAACTGTTAACTGGTTTAAACTGGCCTTTTTGTCCCTCCTAGTTTTCTGGTATGTTCTTCCTAATAAGCCTGCCTTATGACGGCTGCTGCTTTACTGCTATGGTTTGTGTTATTTAAGTCTACAGAAGGTTGTCCTGTGCCAATAAAAATCAAAGGGAAACAAAGATAATCTTCATCTCATGAGTCTCATCTTGTTTTGTTTTTTATTAATCGCTTATTTATAATTCAAATATATATGTTTTTAATTTGGTGGGTCCATCGATTAAACAACAGCAAACAAGGTGCTGTGTGTTCCAGAAAGAGTAGACTTGTGAAAGCAGACATCCTGCAGTCATTTGAGCAGGCCTTGTGACTAGATAAGAAAGAACATTGCACTACTGGACCATAATAGAACCACTGTCCTGTTGTTTATTTCAGTTCCATTTAGATATCACTGCTGCTGAAAAGAAGCTTAACACAGCATGTCATGCTTTATCTTTGAGGTGTCAGCTAGATTGCAGAGACTGAACTTAAGAGGGCTTTTGTTTTATGCGTTTAAACTGCGTAGACACATTTTGAAGTTATACAAAGCTTTCTGAAGACCTAACTCATGGATTCGCAACTAACTCGACGATGTGTAACAATAAACTTCAAATTAGTCTTTGATGTTTTGTGTGCTGACTGACTATTGTCGTAATGTCAAAATGGCAGTGTCATTAGGTCTTCCAGCTTTGCAGCTGATGATCAAACCAAAGCCAAGACAAACCCATAGATGAAGCCACAGTGGGTAACTCAAGACAGCCCAATTAGTAGGAACCTCTCCCCAGTCATCTGAAGACAGAGGTTCACCCCTCTACAGGGGTGGACTGCCACAATGAGCTCACATTGAGATCTTTCCCCCCTTGGCAGCTGAGGCAGCCTTTATTTCCCCCACCCCCTGGTCAGCGATAGTTCAAGGGTCAATTGGCTCGGTGGATTAGCAGGGTTCACTGGTGACTTCAGCTCTCACCAGGAGTCATCTCTCAGTGTGTGGTCATGACCAGACGCCACCTATCACTCACTCCTCTTTATGGCCACAAGCGGTTTCACTGTGGGAAGGGCATGGGGGCAGAGTCCAGGGCCAGGTGAGGTGAAGTTGCCCTACGGACAACTATCTAAAGAATGACACCTCTGCTGGGTCTTACCTTTTAAAGTGTAGTGAGGAGTGCCACAGGTTCCCCAAGCAAGACCCTGTGTCAGGTAAGCAGTTTTGGCAATAAGTCTGGTCATGAAGTAAATGGTGCCAATCTGAACTTGTAAAAAACGATGTGGGTTCCCACAGATTCAGGCAGTTTCAATAACTGGTCCCTTAGTACCATCTTCCTAATGAAAGGCAACTGTGGTGGGGTATTCACGTCACATAACACCCCACGGTGTTAGTCCGAGTCTGCCATGTCGACACAAAAAATAGTTTGTTATGTCTTCTTAATGAGATCGAGAGAGCGGCGCATCCGACGGGACGTGTTCCCCTGATTGATTAAATGAAACAATCAACACTGAGTGGGGGCGCATTAACGTGTCGTAAGTGCTTGTGACAGGCCTTGCCTTATCCTCCTCTTACAGATAGTGACAGTTCTACCATGCGCCCATAAAGATGGCATCTGATTGTCAATTGCAATTACACAAGTGCAGAGGCAATGATCAGGCGGGTGGGGGTAGTTTTCTTTGCACACTGTTAAGTACAGTCATTGGTTCAGGCTTCAAGGGCTTGAGGGCAAGTTGGGAAACTTATTTTGCTGTAGTTTCCTCTCCTCTCTAAAGGTACAGAGGATCGTGTGAAATTGTGAGGTAAGCAGGGGATACATTCCAAGGTTGGGTGTATTTGTCTCTTTCACGGTAGTGTTTCTGTTGAGGGTTTTCTATCCAGCTTCTGTATTAGAAGCATGGCGTCTTAATGCAGCTTCTGTATTAGAAGCATGGCGTCTTAATGCAGCTTCTGTATTAGAAGCATGGCGTCTTAATGCAGCTTCTGTATTAGAAGCATGGAGTCTTAATTCAGCTTCTGTATTAGAAGCATGGAGTCTTAATGCAGCTTCTGTATTAGAAGCATGGAGTCTTAATTCAGCTTCTGTATTAGAAGCATGGAGTCTTAATGCAGCTTCAGTATTAGAAGCATGGAGTCTTAATTCAGCTTCTGTATTAGAAGCATGGAGTCTTAATGCGGCTTCTGTATTATAAGCAAGCTACAGGGAGGTAAACACTAATCTTGTCAAAGTTTATTTTCTCTGGGGTACAAGTAGAGCCATGCCATGGAGCGCAGAATGAGCCCAGGTGTGTGGCGAGGAGTTTACGCGACGCACTCACTCACTTCATCAGTCAGAGAGGGGCGGCTGATTCAGCCTAGGTGCTGAAGTACATGTGTGCATCCCGGGGCAATGGGATCACACCTAAACTCAGGCACGGATGACAGACTGCTCCAGAATTAGCCTGCATCGCTTGCCCTCTCTCTCTCCCAACCTGCCTCAGCTGCACACACACTTCCTGGCTGCCGCATTCAGATTTCCTGTGTGTGTGTGTGTTCATGCGCTCGTTCAGGGGGTTGTGGATTTGGCTTGGGGGCAAGGGTTGAGAGAGACGTGGTGAGTTTGGGGGGATGGGAGGAGTGCATACCGTGCAAGAAGCAAGGAAGATAGAAAACTTCCTTGTCTGGATAAGTTCAAATAATGGACCTCTCAGTTCTCTTGTGTGGATTTGTCCTGCGCTATGTTCTAAAGCTGCGAAAGTCTTGATCTTTTTTATATAGACCCCTGCTTTTAGGAGTCAGTAGGGTAGAGGTGCAAGAACATACACATCATTATTATTATTACCAATATGGAACTAGTTCTCCATACATTTTGCCAGGGAATTGTCTCCTCCAGGACATTTTATCGGCTGCACTCTGGCCTTGTGGCATAGTCACTGGTGACAGAGAGGCCATTCTGTGCCCTCATATTCTAATTCTGAAGAATGTGTCGCAAATTAGGTATACATTTTCTCTCCTACTCCATGCACCCTTGCCTCTCTACCCCACAGGTCTATGCCACTTAACTTTAGACTGCCCTCCTGCCTTAATGGTTTTTGATAGGATGTCTTCGGGGGGGGGCTACCAAAAAGTAATTGTGTCTGAAGCCCCTTGACAAGGGCTGTACTTTTAAAAAGGTACTGCTCAGGGAACCGAGGGCAATAAGCTGAGAGAATGGTGATGGTAGTGAGCCTCAGATGCATTCCTGGGTGGAGAGAGGGCAGGAGGGGGTCAATGCCATCAGCGATACCCTATAATGACCACCCTTGGAACAAAAACAACACCTTCATTACCATTTCTCCTCGGCTCATCTGCATATGTGTCAACCGGCTGTGAATTTTTAATTTCCGCCTTATTACAATGCAGATTTTAATTTGGGGTGACTAATTTATTTAAACCTGGAGTGAAATTATCCCCCTCTTCCAGCACTGTTTCCCTCCTTATCTTGTCACATTTCCCTAATGCAAAAAAACACTCCTGATTCATATTTAGGAGAACAACTCAGGCAAGGTTTGATATGATTAACTGTAATTATGTGTTACCTAACTGATCTGCTTACCTTTGGTGCTGTAGTCTAAATACATATTCATGAAGGAGGGGTTTACAGGAATAGTATGTGTTTATCTTCCATTTTATATCAAAGTTTGCATTTCCACTTTTTACCGAAAGACACTTGATACAATGACAGTACTTCGGCATATTTTAACTCTGGGTTGACTGTATCATATAAGCCAAACCAATAGACAGTTCCCAATGTCCACCTCACTGAGCATGGCGATAATGCATAGCCTGGGCACAAAGGGAGCCAGCCGGCGTGGCGCTAATGGATTAACCTTGACAGGACATGATTATGAACCAGAAGTGCACCTTTTACTCATGCCTGGTTGTTTCCCGTGTGTGTGTATATGTATGAGTGTGTGTGTGTGTGTGTGTGTGTGTGTGTATATATATGAGAGAGTGTGTGTGTGTGGGCTTCACCGCTCACTGGCTTGATTCTGGACTGGGGG